GAATGGATTTAAAAAGACAAAAAACTATACTACTGACTAGCAGGTCATAAATCTTCCTGCACAATTACAATGGTGGATTATTTTTTAACCAACAGTACCAGAGGCTTATTTTGCATGTCCATGTTTAGTGGTTATATCAAATTAAAAAAGGGAACAAAGCAGAACAAACACATCTGAATATAGAAAAAGTACAAGATGTTGTTCTGATAACAAAGTTGTTGTGCCCTCCGGAGCAGATTCTCTGGGTTAGTTGATTGGAAGACATCTGTTTAAAATGTGCTCATGCATTTGGAGAGAAAAAGTACCAACATTGGTTAGGGACACCACTTAAAACATTTCAGTGACAGAAAATGAATAATTGTTTTTGTCTCAGTTTATTGCCAGCCAATTCATGTTATTTCCTACAGTTGTTTGGGTTAGTTGATTGGAAGACATCTGTTTAAAATGTGCTCATGCATTTGGAGAGAAAAAGTACCAACATTGGTTAGGGACACCACTTAAAACATTTCAGTGACAGAAAATGAATAATTGTTTTTGTCTCAGTTTATTGCCAGCCAATTCATGTTATTTCCTACAGTTGTTTAAAGCAATGCGATTTTCTTTCTTCCTATATCACTTGTCTCAGTGATCTGCAGTTGGAAGACATGCTTGAAATGTAAAGAGAGGCATTACTTCTGATGTGTGATTGTTTCCCCGCTGGGTGACACGTGGGTTTAAAAAAGTCTGAGTGAATTCCAGACTAGCTCACAGAGCCTGAGAAAACAATCGTGTCTGCCTGACCGTCACTCTCTCCTCTACACCTCTGTGTGGGATGTTCGGTCACAAAGGACAGCTGGCCGGCTTACCCTGGATGTATATCTGCGTATGTGGAGGTATCTGAGGTTTGTGTGTGATCCTGAGGGGTCAGAGGTCAAGCTGTGGTTCACAGAGAGCCACGCTGTTCTCCTCCCTACAGGAAGGGAGGGCACTGTCCATATGCTGTCTTCACTCACACACAAGTACAGATTCACACGCTCACACATCATACACACTGGTACAGTTGCAGAGTGCAACAGGTAGTAACACTTTACAAACCTCACAACACACACTCCGTATGTTTGCATGCACAGTTAAGTAGAGCTACAGTTATAGCTCGATTAGACCATTTGATTGGACTTCTGTCCTAATCCCAGTATACAATCACCATGTCCCCTTTCAGCTAGTTTCTATCAGACTTTCTTCTGGTTGACTGATAAAGAAGATTGCAAACAAGATCATTCACCAGGACACTAACTAGGACATTACAACATTCAAACAAATGTCTTTCTATTGCAGAGGAAAAGCATTCCTTAAAACTTGATGTGTTTTCAGAAAACAGAATGCAACGTTTGTTAAGATGAAGTTAAATGACATTTTTTTGTTGTTGAAAAAATATTACAGAACACCATGAAAGAGAGGAATGCTGGAGCAGGTGAAGCTCAAAGACCTTTAAAATCAAACCAAAATATTTGCAGTTCTTGTGACATTGTGACCTCAATATTGGTCAAGAATCTTTTTGTTTTTGCCTTTATTGAGATAGTACAGTGGACAGTGTCAGAAAAGGGGAGAGAGAGAGTTGGTAATGACATGCGTGAAATAAGCCACAGGTCTGACTCAAGCCCGGGACTGGAGTACAACACTTTCTGTACATAGGGCTGTGAACCAACTGCTAGGTCCCCATCACCCCAGAATATTTTTATTGTAGCCACGTCACACAGCACAGACCTGTATTATACCTGTCATGGTAACAACTACGTGTTTGTAAAACAACAATTGTATATCAGGAATCACTGCTTATTTGTCATTGTGTTCCCCTCCTGACAGACACGTGTGACTTACTTAAATTACGAGTTCATAATGAAAACAAGTGATACCATGGGGCAGATCTTAAAATTTGACACACTTTTTTTTTTAGGAGGAAAGAAAACATCAGTCTATACGTTCCAGAGTGATAATGACTATACACCGGGTTTTTTTATATTTCAAATGCTTCAACTCTGACTCTGGCAGACCTGTTTAGGACAACAGTGTGAAAGTTTGAGACCCTGCTGTGAAATGAAGACAACCCTCCTCAACCTTCTGTCTCTGTTTTGTCTCCCCTCCCCTCAAATACAAGCACTTTCTCTTTTAAAACGCACTGCCTGACACAAGTTTGGCCTTCCCTTTTGCTGATTAGATACTTTTTTCTCTGACTGAGGGAACAAGTATGTCCAAAGTCTGCACAACCAGTGGACAGCTGCATACAGCTGTGCCCTCACAGTGTTGGACAACAACTTTTAAAATCTTTATAGGCAATAGATACAGACACACACACACACACACACACACACACACACACACACACACACACACACACACACACACACACACACTCTAACATACTAGGGAGGGCAAAGTTTAACATTTATTGTTCTTTCACACACAGAGTAAACCTATAGACAGCTGTGTTGACACGCACACACCTTGTTACCAACACTGAGGAGTCTCTGAGCTGATGACAAGATGTTTAAGAGGTGTTCAGAGGAACAGACACCACTCTGCGTGTAGCATTGAAAATGAGGCATATTTGTTTTCTTTTATTTCCTTCTTGCTCAATATACGAGCAATATACAAGACGACTATGAGTGCCTGACATTGTCAAAAGTAAACAAGTTTAATAACTAAATAACACACTTGTGCTGACTCATATGGAAGGTATGTTTAGTGGTCAGTCAACAATAATAGTCTGATACAAAAAATAATATATTTCAACATATGAGGTAGTGTCCAAATGATCTAGTTCTACACCAACTGTATCAGCGTTTAGTCGTCATAAAATCCCATTACACTTCACTTTACATTCAGTGACTGTGACAATGGATATAATATACTGTATTTGTACCATTGACTATCACAGAGCTCTTGTTTGACCTGATTAAAGAATATTGAACATGATAAACCAACTTTGGGAACACAATTATCTTAGCAGTGCTGCTCTACTACATGTGCTGCAAGTATTGTGAACTATGAGTGCACTCTGCTTGTCCAATATTAGATTAGATTAGATTAAATTCAACTTTATTGTCATTGTGCAGAGTACAAGTACAGAGACAACGGAATGTATTATGTGATGATACCCTTTCTAAATGGAGCCAGTTTTCTGATCTGGTGGCAAATCAGAAAACATATACACGAGTAATATGTGGCATGGAGCAATAGCAGCAAGATATCATTCAACATCTAAAAAGACCTCCAAACACTTGCTGTGACAGAAAGCGTGACGACCATTTGGAAGTTTTTGGTGTATAAACAGCCGAGTTAGAGAAACAAGCAGAGATGGATTGGATTTAAAGATACGTCAAACTAAGGCATTTATGACAACTGTGAGTTTTTCTCCTGGTCACAACATTTTTTAAGTGATGCCTGAGTTTTACAGGGATTTCTACTGTATGTAGTTACAGCGTGCAGATCATCATTCTTGGAGCTTAAGACACGATGGCACACACAAACAACTCAGAGTAAGTAGTACTCCCACCCTGCACCTGGACCGACACTTTCTCAAGTCACAACAGGCAGATGGGACACACACACGCACGCACGCACGCGCGCACACACACACACACACACACACACACACACACACACACACACACACCGCGCACATACACACACTCCAGGAATGCTAAAACAAATGTTTACAGTTTACATTGGACCTCTTGTTGTTGTTTACGTACTTTCACATGTATTGGTAATTGTCGTTGTTGGGAATGTAAATCTGAGGCTGCAAACATCAGCAGAAGCAATCACAGGTTCAGCATGCTAAATCAAAAATAACAGTTAAAGGCTTCGAGTCATGGATTATTTTACCCACCTGATCATTCCATAATCACAGGGGTGATGAGTGTCATGCTCAATGATCATACGGCACAACACACACTTTTATTTAAACACTGGCGCCCCCTTATGGTCTACTGCTTGTAGCTACATATCACCCCAGGAAAATCTGAATTACAGAGTTACACACAAAGCTAACAGTCTGAAGAACTTCAAAGCAATGAACACTTCCTGTACCATAACAAGATAATGATGAGGAGAAACTGCTTTCTGCGGTTAAAAAGCACAAACGGTCTATCCTTCATCTTACATCCCAAATTAACTGAGAAGGCTTGAGATCCGATAGCAAGCAGTAAGTGTTACTATTATGAAATATATTTTTGTCCTACCATTGTCTTGGAAAACCTTGACTGTAAGCATGTGAGCACATTTCCAGGACCTGGACACCAAACTAGCTATCTATTGAAATAAAACATTACAAGTGGTAGAATTTTTTGCCTGTGAGATTGTTCATAATGTTTCTTTGTGAGTCTGTCTTTGTAAATATTATCATTAATTATTAAGTCACACATTGACTACAAAAAGAATCAAAATGATCAAGTGATTTGATTTGTCAATGTAGTTAATGTTATTCCTAATTTCATACCCCAAATTGATTTTGCACAAATAAGCGCTAGTGCTCACATTAAACATGTTATTTTAATATTTATTGTTATTAATAATAGTTCATATAATTAACAAAGAACATATTTAAAAAGGTCTACTGTCCATATTTTAATTGTTTTAATCCAATATATTGACGGCACACACAAAAAAAACCCTAATTTCTCTGAATAAAAGAGTTCAGCAGCACCACACATCAACATCTCTCTATAACAGGTTAACAGAAAATGGAGATAAAAACGACCATGATGGAAGAATTACACACGGGACTGTTTGTAAGACAGCATTAGTTTGAGCTAGGAGGTGAACCTTTTAAACTGGAGACTGAGGGCATGTATCAGGGGTGGATGTGGGTGAGTGCTGTTAACTTACAGAGATCGCCCTCTGCTGGGAGTCAGTGCATCCTTAAAACTGAGGAGCCTGGGTAAGGCGACATTGTCATGATTTTAGCTTACATTTTGAGGCTGTGAAGTCGAGGGTTTAAGAAGGTAGACGACAGAAACAAACACAAATTCATCCATGTGCTTTATTATTATTTACATGACATTGTGAAAGGATTTTTTTTTTCATATGGAGAAAAGTTTGAATGGAAGTGATACATATGGTCTGGGGATCATTTTCAGTAATTATGTTTTAGTTATTATAGATATGCTATATGTTGTTGAATGTTTGTTAGTGTAAAAAGAATATACACAATATGAATGTGTAAAATGTATTGTCACAATGTAAACTGCAGACCCCAAGAAGAAACAGCTTCGAGCTACGCTGAAGCTAACGGGGATCCAAATAAACAAACCAACAAAGAAAAAGACACAACCAACTCAAAGGCCTAAAGCTCTGTGATCTAGAATTAGCTTTGTTACAATATTTACACAATGAAGCCTTAATTCATTGGGGTTTTATTATCTCCAAAATAATACAAATACAAATAAAACTGGACTGTTCTAGATTTCAGTGGGCAGATGATTTAAGCCTCATTTGCAGTGAACAATGCCTTCTGAATTCTCTAGTCTTTTTCAGATAGTCTAAAAACAGGATACCACATAAGACTTTTTCAGTAATATTTATTTGTTTGCTAATCTAATCTCAAATCAATGAGGTGCCTTGTGACAGACCTCCCTGGCGGCCTCCTGCAGTCTTTTAACGGACTCCATCACCATCTGGAAGCTTTCATGGAAGCTGCCGTTACCTTCCTTCACCCAGGCCGCCTGGAGCTCTCTGACCCACATCAAGACCCCGTCCAGCTGCTTCTGCACCTCCTTCTGCTCCTCCAGCTCTGCCAGCAGGGCCTGTCTGGCACAGACCTCTGCTTCGTAGGCGCTATGGAGGTCAGCAAGGTTTGACTCCAGCCTCAGCACCTCCTGGAAGCAGCATAAACAAAGTCAAATCACAGATTAAATAGTTCCCATCTTGTTAATAACTATATACGCAGATTCTGAGTTGGAAGTAAAACATACATGGAAAGGAAACATTCAAGTTTATTAGAAGTGTATGAAAAACTATCTCTTGACTTTATTTCCATACATAGGTCATGCTCAGGGTATGTCAACAGTGCCTTTGATGAGAGTTGTATCCGAAAATGCTCTAACACAGAGTCCATCTCTCCAATGCTCTAACACAGAGTCCATCTCTCCAATGCTCTAACACAGAGTCCATCTCTCCAATGCTCTAACACAGTATTCAAATCTCCCAGTTCTGAATGAAATGACAAGTGAGTGTAAGATATGACTGTGGTGAGAGCCGTCTAGAGTCTGTAGTAACAGACACTTTGTGTCCACAACAAAATGATTTGATCTTTTTCTAAGCTTTTAAAAAAAAAAAAGAATTGACAACTTTTAATTTCCTTTTTTTATGTGGCTGTTCTACCTCCTAAAGGAGACATACTAGTTTGGTTAAGTAAATTCACTTAGCTGGTCATCATTCTCGCCCTATATGCTGGGCGAAATAAAGTTACATGAAATGTATTTTTATTGAACAAAAAGAGGATTAGATATCATCATGTAGCCTCACCATCTGGCAAGAAGAGAGAGTGCTCGAACCCAACCCACCTGTGTAGCAAAACACCACAGCTGTGTAGCAAAACATCACACCTGTGTTGTTGACATTTTTCATAAGAAACAACTTTCTATACAGTCTACAATCAAAGATAAACATTATTAAATTACAGCTCAAATATTCACCAAGTGGCTCCATATCAACCACTGGTAAACACTTCCTCAGGCTAATTAGTATTAGTTTTATAGAAGTCCTTGTTGTTGGGCTCTTCGAGGTGTCATAACATAACAGAGACGATGTCTAACCTTTAACCTCTCTCGTAAAGTATTTATCACAAATTGTAAACACTGTCCAGATCACGGGCTGCACCTTGCATCATGTAGAAGCACATGAAACATTGAGAGTGTGTAGAAACCCTCGTGAAGAGCTCCTCCTGCACCCACCTGTATGTGTTGGGGGTAGTTCTTGTGGGACTGGTCCTCGGACAGCAGGACATTTGGCGGCACGGAGAAGCAGCGGTCGAGCAGCAGTGTTTCCATCCTCTTCGACAGCTGCTTGAACCTTTCATCGAGAAACTGCTGCAGTTTCCGGCTGCACTCTCTGGCCCGGGACCGAAGCAGTTCCTCGGACCGTCCGACTTGTCTCTGCTGAGCTGCCTCACACACACCTTTTCCACAACAGGTAAAATGTCGTACAGACAATCCTGGAAGGCGCTGTATACTCGCAACATACATGTCTGCGGAGTGAAGCCGAAAAACTGCGTCTCGTACAGTTTTAATGTGGATGGATAGGGGCTGTCCGACTCTTTATCTGTGCTGGTATCCATTTCAGTTTCTTCACGGTTTTCCCGCGCCATTGTCAAATCGTAACGTCAGGTTCTTCTTCTTCTTTTTTATCGCGGTTGGAAACCAGCTTGAGTACGCATTACCGCCATCTACCGGACAGGAGTGTGGAGCAGCACATTGGCAGGAAAAGGGACAAAAAAATAATGATTTCAATTAATAATTTTTCCTTCAAATATAATAATTAAACGTTGTTTTGTTTCCTTTGTGTTCTATAGTGAAAGTCGTTTAAATAGTTTATAGTTAATTGAACTTTAACAGGAAGTAATGACGATAAGAGTTGCAGATATACATTTAGTTGCAACTTGTATGTTGATTTTTTTTTAAACATTTACCTTCCTCATTTTCAAATATATGTGGCTACCTCAGCTTATCTTAAATTATTTTTAAGTCTAATGAAAACAGCTAGGACTTCAAACACTTTCATGAAAAAAATATTGATTTAAAAAAATGTCGAAGATTTTCCAGAAAAAAAATTGACTACATAAATTTCGAAAATTTTCATGAAAAAATGGTGTGCCTTAGGGAACAAAATACCATGCGATTAAAAATAATTAATGCATTAATTTCAGACCTTAATTAATCGTCATTAACTGTTTTTTGCAGAAAGCCTAGTTTTTTCTGGAATGTTTTTGCAATTGTTGTATAAGTTATTATTTTTTAGTGTTCAATCAATCACTTAATCTTTATTTGTATATCGCCAATTTATAACAAATGTTATCTCGAGATACTTTAAACAAAAGAGCAGCACTTTGTTAGTTAATATTGCAAAAGAGCAGGTAAAAGACCTGACTTCATATGTTAGAAAATAGCAAGTACAAACCTAGATAGATAGATAGATAGATAGATAGATAGATAGATACTTTATTGATCCCGAGGGAAATTCAAAGCATCCAGTAGCAGGTTACAAAGACGTACATGACATGAAACATTTGTTACAAATTAAACCACAAACCCGACCCCCTCTCTCATACATATATATTAACCCGAAAAAAGATTTAAAGAATACCCCTAGATGAAACAAGCTTAAACTGTGCAATTAAAAATAGCCTTATACAAGAAATGTACATAACCCGTGCAGGGATAAAAAAAAAAAAATGTGTAATTTAAAGCAAGAACCTATAAACAGTTGAGGAAAAAAATAAAATATATAAATAAAATTACAAAATAAAAAAAAAGTGTTGACCTTCTGAAGTTGTGAACCTGTTGGAATATCTACAATTAAAAAATGATCTACAATATAATTGCACGGATATTGTCTGTAAGTGGTTTTGGGAAATGATTGTAAACTCTTGTAGGCTAATTAAAAAAAAAAAAAAAAAAGTTTATTTGTGACGTAGGTTACGACCACGCCCCCTTATCTGAACGAAAGGGACATGCGCACACCGTCACTTCCTGCGCAGCTTCGGGCTCTTTTAGGTCTGTCTGTCTGTCTGTGTTGATAGCGGCTTCAGCTTCCACACGTGTAGTCCTTCCTATGTGAATCTCTCTCTCTCTTAGGCTCGTTCATTAGCTCGTCCCGCTCCGTCAGAAAAGGTAAAGTAACGTCGAGGACGAGTTTGATCTTTTAACAACTGCGCAGTCGCTTGCTCGTCGGGGGGGCAGAGGTTACGGCTAGAAGTTTAGCCGGGTGTTAGCATGGTGATGTTAGCTTGCTGATGCGTCTACTTTTTTTTTTTTTTTGTTGTGGTGATGCTAACGTTAGCTAGCTAGCAACATGTAACAAGCCGAGGTGTTTTAACAGTTTCTAAGTGTGACAAATGCACTTGATCACACACGTGTGTTTCTTTCTTTACACCTGGTATGAGCAGTGTATTTTGTGTCGTCCTCTGTCCAGGTGTTAAGCCATAGAAACCGACAACCATGGGGGCTTATCTGTCGCAACCTAACACAACCAAGACCTCTTCCGATGGCGGCAACAGCAGGATGAGCTTTGGTTCTCTGCCATGCAGGGCTGGCGCGTCTCCATGGAGGTGAGGGAGACACACATGATGCAGCTCTGTTTCATGGACACATCTGGGACTAAATGTACATCGAGTTGGCGGGAGAAACGATGCGTGGCGTTTCTCTGAACACGTTTGTCTGCGTGGTGTGGGTTCAAGTCTCTAGAAGTACACTTTAAAGAGTTTGTCGCATTTTTCCAAACTAGATTTTCTCTGGCCATCGATTTAAGGGATTGGAGTAAAGTTACAAATACAATCAGTGTTTCCAACATGCTACATTACATCCAATCCTCAACAACTTCAATGGAGTGTGTTGAATGCTTGCTGTGTGTGGTAATGTATCATGAGAACATCATCTTTGTACAAGGCCCCTAGCTGTAACCAACATTCAACAGAACAGCACAAGTATTTGTCTTTAAAGGCTCACATGCCAGTAATTCAATGAAAAGATATGTATGGACATATCAACATTACTTGACACTACATGGAGATTACCACTTTGTCCTAAAGATACAAGTTGTTTATATATTTTTTGTACTTGTGTAGAAGTAGTGGGTGCTTTGATTTGTACCAGTTTGCCCAGTGCTGTATTGTCTGTAATGTTTATTTGTTTGTTTTGTCACAGGATGCTCACAACTGTATCCCAGACTTTGATGAGGATACAGCCATGTTTGCCGTGTATGATGGACATGGAGGTAAAACACTTGAATAGTACAGTTCTCTCTGTATGCCGTTTTGCAGAATACTTTATGCCGCTTGCAGTTTTTACCACCAACTCAGTCGGTAGCGTTTTATATTGTCGCTGTGTAACAGAATAACTACATTGTCTCCAGAGATGTGTTGCTGTTTGTCATCGTGAGCCACCAAAGAAACCAATGCACCTTTTTTTTTGTGTCACACGTTTTGGATGTGGAGAACACCTTTATTTTGTGTTGCCCCTCTGCCCCTATTTTGTAACACCCCCCCTGCAAAGTACCGTGCTTCTATACAAACACCTAACCTGAGATTTAACATTTCCTGCTGATCCCTATTTAGGCGAGGAGGTGGCTCTGTACTGTTCAAAGTACCTTCCCATCATCATCAAGGAGCAGAAGACCTACAAAGACGGCAAACTGCAAAAGGTGATGCAGCTGTAGGAGCCACAGCATGACTTGTTTGTTGGAGCAGTGATGTTTATGATCCAGGTGTTTCCTGCTGGACCATGATTTAGTAAACAAGCAGCTGGGCTCCTTTTTGTGTCTGTTGTTTCTAGGCCCTAGAGGATGCTTTCTTGGCCATCGACAGCAGAATGACCACAGAGGACGTCATCAAGGAGCTGGTCCAGATTGCTGGACGGCCAATTGAAGAACCACCGGTTGAGAAAGTGGCAGAGGAGGATGATTGTGAGGACACAAAAAGTCACAACACTATTCATATAGTTATGTTTTGTACTTGTGCATTGTTAGGAGCATCTAACATAGCTCATTCATTCTGAAAGGTAAAGGAGAGTTAATGTTTATCAAAATGCATTTAAACAGGTCAAAGTAAATAAGACCATAACTGACATTGAATAAAACGGTAGGGTTAATGTAAAACATAAACTATGCACTCTAAGGTCCATGCAAGTTCATCACTAGTAGTATTAGACAATAATAACAACTTCTAAATGATGCCGTGTTACCTTTCAGTGGAGACGGAGGAGGCAGCTCTTCTCCATGAGGAAGCCACCATGACCATAGAAGAGCTGCTGGTTCGCTACGGACAGAACCTGCATGCTGTCAAGCACGCTGCTGCCATCAGGTAGTTGAACAATGCTTTGTTTTGACTTTCTACACAAGGACTAAAACTAATGTTTAAGTTCAGTGAGGTTTGATGTGTAGGTCCTTCAATAAGGCTTCCTTTAGAAACAAGAATATAACACCTGCTTTCATGTTTTTTTTGTTCCTAGTGCTGCTGCTAAGAAAGCCTCCTCCTCAGGAGCAGAGGGCTCAGGAGACACTGATGAAGGTGGGAAAGTTCAGAAGAAGGAGGTGCTAAATGGAGAGGTTGAGGAGGAGAGCAATGGAAAGGGGAAGGAAGCCGGAGGAGCAGCAGCAGCAGCATGCGGGTCTAAGCTGAGGGCCTGTCGGAGAGCAGCAGGAGGTGAGTGAAGTGCCTCGAGGACAGAGCCTCTCAGGAGACTTTATCAAGTACAGTTTTGTCCTGCTAAAAGATGACTGTACAAAATGTTTTACTTGAGAAGTCACTTAAATATTGAAGTGAATATCACTTTATTCCTCCAACACAAACACGTTAAACCATGTCTCTTCCACAGCAGCTGCCTGTGGAGGGTCAGGAAGCCCAAATGGAGAAGAAAAAGCGGGTAAGGCTGAAGGAGACGCAGGTCCCTCTTGCTCCTCTTTGTCGTCAAAGACCGCAGGGGACTCAAAGTCCAGGTTCTTCGATGACAGCGAGGAGTCTGAGGGAGAAGAGGAGGGCAGTGACGAAGAAGACGGCAGTGAAGAGGAGGAAGGTGACAGCAGTGAGCTGGAGGAGGAGGAGGATACAGGAGAGGAAGACTCTGAAGATGAAGAGGAGGAGGAGGAGGAGGAAATGTGTCTACCTGGAATGGATGGCAAAGAGGAGGTGTGTGCAATGGAGGTGTCTTAACTGAAACTGTTCTAATGCACTTGACACCTGCAGAGGATACATTATAAAAAAACATCCACAACTTAATTAACCCCTTTAGGTGTCAAATCAAAAGCTGCTTTTTTTTTTGGTGCAAATGTCCTGAGGGGGGAGCTGAGAGAATGATTTTTACAAGATACTTTTTAACTATTCGCCTCCCATTTGAATCTAACTTGGTATAGATGAATAGTGTTGTGTAGAACAGCCTAAAACAGGAATATGGTGTCTCTTCATTTTGAGTTACCATGAAATTACTTGTATTATGTTTTCTCTCAAGTTTCTTAATCATTTTGTTTATTTCACTTGCGGGGTTAGCACACATTTTGAGAGAATATCACACAAAAAAAATCAGATTGTTTGCCTTTTATGCTGGGGTTTATGTCAGCTCTTTTGTCTTTGTGCATTCACAGCCCGGCTCAGACAGCGGCACCACAGCTGTGGTGGCTCTCATCCGAGGAAAACAGCTGATCGTGGCCAATGCTGGAGACTCTCGCTGCGTGGTGTCTGAGCGAGGTAGGTCCAAACCATTCGTCCACCTTTTTAGCCCTGATAGAAGTGTTGATGTGTAAAAATAAGAGAACAAATAACTAATATTAATCTCAGGAACCTGATACAAAGAGTATGTCTTAGAGTTTGGTTAGCTGTACTGTCTCTGTTAACAAGCTTATGATCAATGAGTCTGATTTCACACACAGCCACTTTCTAGACCTTATCAACAGGCAGATTATGAAACAACTTTATGTCTTGGAAAAGACAGAGGGAGTTACATTATTGGACATGAGCCAATTTGATTTAAGAACGGTTTAAAACTTCTTTATGATTAGCACACATGAGCCAATGACGATTTACTCCAAGGGCAAGAAGTAGTGGATGATCTGCTCGCGTTTGTGATGCAAGCAGTGTCTGGATGCTCTTCAGGTGATCATGAGAGGGAGAGATGGCTGCTGATAGGTTCCTCTTCTGTTGCAAAAAACTGAGGTTCAAAGTCTCCTGTAGATTATGGATTTACTGATCCCGTTGTTTTGATTGTTTTGCGCTGCTCATTGCTTTTAATGTCATTCTGCACTCTTAATTTTGCTACGCCATTATTAATTAGTCTTCCAACACAAGGGTCCACTGTTGTTATAACTGAATCTGTAGTGTCACTTTCTAAAACAGGATTTGTTTTTGTTTGGATTGTGTAACATACTTTGTCCGGATCCCTTTTTAAAATTAAAGTCAATATTTCAGTAAAACAAGAATTAGACCATTCTTCACTGTGTTACCATGTGTGACAGAAATTAATCACATGCTCTTGTCATGTTAGAAATTTTCCAAATTGTTTGCCATTATCAACAAAACTAAAGTCAATCCAGTAACGTCATACAGAGCCTCATATGAGCTACACATACTGTATGCTTCAGCTTTGGAGAGTCTGCAGTCAGCAGAAGATCTCTAAAATGCAAAAAGTTTGTAAGTGTATTAAAATTGTTGCATTTGTCATTGACGGAAAAGGTTCCAGATAAACAATTTTAAAAAAGACACAGAAGAGTACACAAACTAGATCATAATTATCAAGCGTGCAGTAAATACACAAAAAATTATCAGAATGGTGGAAAATAAATGTTTTGGTGCTGAAAATGTTGTGTGGGAGATCTCCAGATCCATCGTACCTGAAACCAACTATTAGATCAATCAACTATTGAACTATGTAAGAGGATCGATCAACATGTATGGTGTGTTTGTGTGTGTGTAGGCAAAGCTGTGGACATGTCATACGACCACAAACCAGAGGATGAGGTGGAACTTGCTCGCATCAAAAATGCTGGAGGGAAGGTAACCATGGACGGACGGGTCAACGGTGGACTGAATCTCTCCAGAGCTATCGGTATCTTTGATTTTCTGTGACTTTTAGTGAGTCTCAAGGCAGCTCTCAGTTAGCAGTCCTAAAACGGCTGCACACTTTTCTTGTCTGATCTTTTAGCTGATTGAGTTATGTTTGTGACTCACAGGTGACCACTTTTATAAGAGGAACAAGGTTCTACCTCCAGAGGAGCAGATGATCTCTTCGATGCCAGATGTCAAAGTTTTTAACACTTAACGAGGACCACGACTTCATGGTCATCGCCTGCGACGGCATCTGGTAAGTTTGAGCTGTTGCACTGGTAGTTTAACCGGAGTTATTGATCACTCATCATGATGTGTGAACATTTCTTTGCATTTCTTTTAGTGGAAAGGATCAAAAATCCTGCGGTCCAGATCAGATCACAGATTTTTGTCATGGATCGAATCGTTTTATCTGATTGAAATATTTTATTTTTTGACTCCTCGGCTAGACGACTGAAACTACGCATGTTGCCATCACTTCACTCTTAATAATGTATCACATCCTCTATATTTTACCTTAAGCTAAACACGTTGAAACAATTCCAATTATAATAATAATCATAATAGAAATGGTTAGATAAACCTGAACTCCCTCTTTATTTAGAAATGCTTTAAAGTCTGATATGACTGTAATACAAAAAACCGAATCATTTAAAAACAGTATTTGTTACCCTCCTTCAGAGACATCAAGTTAACTAACACTAAATAGTATTCAAGTTTGATGTCATCTACAGAAGTCTTATTTTAAAATCTTTTTCTTTTGTATGAGCTTTGAGGATGTTGAACACGTAGCACACACACACACAGTGTTCAGGGGGGATGTGTGATTGCTCTGACGGGCGCACACGTTTAGGATCAATATCTTTAGTTTATGGAATGCGGGGGAAGACCCCAATGGACCACGCCTAGATCAAGCCTGATCTGTTTCACCACTTCAGTTTTATACAGCTGACTATTTATTACAAGAATGCACATTAAGGTTGTTCTTTCAGATTTTTCTTTGCAATGTTGATGAACCCTGTTTCTCTGCCTGATGTGTGCAGGAATGTGTTAAGCAGTCAGGAGGTGGTGGACTTCATCAGCGAGAGGATCAAACCAGACCAGACTGGCAATGTCCGAGCCCTCTCATCAATTGTGGAAGAGGTGAGAGAGAGAACCTGATAGACACTTGGACACAGTCAGTCAAAATGTTAGTTTGCAAATTGTAAGCTCAGGAATCAATATTGCATGAAAGACACCTTTCTTTAAAAAAAACAAATCAGTATGGAACAAATAAGCTGTTGAAAATGAAAATCGATATATACTTAAACCTGGAGACTTTCATGTCTGCTGTCTTTAGGGCGATCATCTCAACCACAATATTGAATGTCATTCACAGGTTGAGCTCCTTAACTACTTCACAGTATTGGTACTGCCCTTAAAGCCTCATGTACTATTCCTTAGTATTTGATATACAATGGCCATGTCTGGTTTGCAGGAGGATATTTTCAGGAAACAAAAAACCCTTTTCACACATACGGAAATCTCCGGAAAAACTCTGGAGATTAGGCTACCTGGAGGCACTTTAGGCTATGTGTGAACGCAAACAGTCGCATTTTTCAACCGGACTTTACCCGGAGTTTATCCAGCCAGACCCCTAGTATTTTATCCGCAGAAAGTCCGAGTGAGCTGACGTGAGAAGCAGCATATACTCCGGAGGATTCACCTCGAGCCAATGGGACCCAAGTGACGTTTCTATACTTGTACTGCTGAACAGTGTATAGAGTGGCTGCACGCGACCACTACGATCGCCGTGCACGTAATTAAACGGCTGCTTTATGTTTTCTGTTCGTCAGTATGTTGTTCTCCTCTCTTTTGTGGATGTTGTCATTCCATTGGATTACACATAGCATTGATTTAAAGGCAAATATTCTCATTATAACGTCATGTAGCGGACTCTGTTGCTTCGGCCGCTACTTTCACGTTGTTTATTTTATTTTTATTTTTTTTAAGATTTATTTTTGGGGCTTTTCGTGCCTTTAATGCAGAGAGAGGACAGTGGATAGAGTTGGAAACCAGAGAGAGAGAGCGGGGAATGACATGCGGAAAGGGGCCACGGGTGGAAGCGAACCCGGGCCTACCGCTCGAGACGAGAGTCTCAATACATGGGACGCGCGCCCCCCACGTTTTTTATTTAAGTCACGTCTTACCTCAGGAAATCCCCCGACCCCCCTCCCTCTGACAGGGATAGTTCCCCGCTGTGAGGAGCATATGTGAACGGCTAGGTCGGGATAATCTCTGGGGAAGTCCTCCTGCAATTATCTAGATATTATCCGGAGTGCATATGTGAAAACGGCTATACAGTAGTACAGACTGTTTGGTCAATAAGATTGTTGATTTTCCTCCAGAAACATTTTTGTTGTTGTTGGTGGTACAGTGTACTTTTATACTGTTGTCATATGCATTACTTTAGCCTTAGTTGACTCCACAAAATTTATAAAAGTAAGACTAAAAAACTTTATACATCTATAATCCCCTGTTCTCCTGACAGCTGCTGGAGCACTGTTTGGCTCCTGACACATCTGGAGACGGGACAGGATGTGACAACATGACCTGTGTCATCATCACCCTCCGGCCGCACCCCGCTCAGTCTGACGACAAAAAGAAGAGGAAGCAACCGGAGGAGGCAGATGGGAAGGAGCTGGGGGAGAATGGAAATGACTGCAAAAAGGCTAAAAGTGACTAAATGCAAAGAGAAACTGTCCGTGAGAGAGCAGCTGGTTCCTGGCTACCAATGATACACCAGAGACACATTCTTCTCAATTAAATCCTGGCCTCACAAAAAAACAAACATCTGACTCTAAAACATAAAAGGCAAAATGCTATGAGTTCTAGCTCTTAAGTTTGGTGGAAGTAAGACCATCAGAGTAGTTATTGCCCTTTCATTCATGATGGATTCATACTTCAAGCTCCCCCAGTAGTTCCTTTAGTTTGCTCTTGCTGGAAAGAAACTGGACATGCTGTACTTCTTAAATTCAGAAGAGGCAGACTCACTGACATGCTGAATGGCATCGAATATTCGATGTGTATGAAGGAAGATGCTGGACAAACCATTCTGCAGACATGTGTATATCTAAACATTTTAGAGACTTCCCCCACCACCACGTATGCTGCAATCTGTTAATGTTACATTTCCACATGACAGTTTTAACCCCCCCCCCCCCCCCCCTCGTTGAGGTTTGACAATGGCCACCATGACCTGCATGATATTGGCAGAATTGCTCAATTACATGCAGGTTTATTTTTGTTCTGGAACATGCCTAAGTCTTCGTGTAGGTCCCTCATCGCAGAGCTTTTTTTTGTGTCCCATCAAAGTGCCGTAAAGTCCACAAATTAGTTTTGAAGTCCCTTTTTCACGTCCTCCCAAAATGTCTGCATACAAATTGACAATGCGTAAATATAAAAACAAACGATGGATTTAGACACTACTGGTGTCCTTTGAAGCCCAAACTGAAATCTAACATGGAGTGAGAATTGACTGTTAATCCAGCTAACAGAATGTTGAATGTTTTGGTAACCTGTTTTAGGTTTCTCTCAGACCTCCCACCCTGAGTTTCTTTCACAGTTAAGACTTTCAGAACAACGTAAGGATTCTGGTTACTTGTCCAGTTCTTGATTCCTATTTCTCCCCTTTTGACACCCGTTCACAAGTGAGGATACTTTTCAGCCTCTGGTTATCCAAGCTTTTCATTTCTGCTTTGTCTTGTCTTGATAAAAAAAAAAAAAATCTGTAAATTTCCAAACAGAAAAGAAGTGGGGTTTTTGAGCTTTCTCACTGAGTTGGAAACATGACAGCATGGAAACATGTAGTAAGAGGTGGTGTTGAAGTCCTGGACTAACTCTACAAGTACAGCTCGAGTCCAGGACTTAAAGACGTCCTCCACCCTATTCACACTTCTAGTTTTCCCCCTATTTTTCATTGTAACACTTTTTTATTTTATTTTTATTTTTGCACAGTAAAAAATACACCAATAATAAATAAAATATACAGTGAAGGAAGAGGCAGAAAGCTCAGAGCTCATCTGAAGCCTCCTCCTAAACGTTAAAGAATCACACAAAGGAAGAAACACATAACTAACAAGAAATTACCTGTAGGTCATGGGTTTTTAGTCACGACTATTTCCACTCAATAGTTTATTTTTCCATGTTGGCTGAGTACGTTTTCTTGCAGTTTTTATAGAAATCCTTTTTGAGAGCACACTCTGATAACACCTTGATGTTGGAGTGTGGACGGGGAGCCGATGTTATTTTTGGAGTGGAAATACAATCTAAAGATCAGAGCACCGAAACAGTGTAACTTTGTAGAGGGTTTCTTTTCCTTTATTTACAGAAGCCTCGTTTAAACTACATTGTGTGACTGTAAGTTTGTTTCTATTGTACTATTTCGTCACCATGCCCTTTTTTCTGTAAATAGTTTTTCAATACTTGTAATTTGAACAAAAATAATCTTTTTTTTTTCTTTGTATTTGTGAGTCAGTGTGACATTTGGGGTGCATACTCTTGACACCAGTATGTAAGTACGTACAAATACATTTTTTTAAATAATGAGACTTCTGGATTCCCGTGTGTTTCTTCAGCCCTTGTTTGTTTTCTAGAGGACTGTTTTTTAATACAGTTCATATTCGACGTGGTTTTCAAAAGATAACGTTTATTTGAAAAAGGTCAGAATCCAAGAACTTCTTTAATTATCATTCATGAATGTAAACAGAGATGAGGCATTGGTTGAAACCAATAGTTTTGGTTTATTTTAAACATCGTTGGCCTTATTCACATCTGTTCTTTGGATAAAATTTACTCTTGAGGATATATCAGAGGATTTTGATATTCAGCAATGTTTTCTTGTCTGGGATTTGTTCTTCACTAAGAATATAATTTACAATTAAATTAGACTGCTCTGGCCAAAATTACAAGTTATTGTATTTATCCTAATTTAGAGTCTTTAAATTAGATATAAACGTATACATATTGAACCAGCACGTGTATGTAAGTAACCTTTGATCCCATGATCAACGGAGCAAATTGGGTGAATATAAATTGACATTTTCATGTGAAATTATAATCATTTTATTGGAAGTTCCATACATTTATTTGGACATACTGTCAAAAATTATCTTCGAAACTGTTCTTCAGGTCATTAATTTTACAAATTGTCCACCAAAATTTGATTTTCCCATACATTTTTATTTTAAGTGTTCGCTTTAAATATATTAACAATTTATTTTTTGCCAAATTGTACTTTAGAAATTTTTGGCTCTTATCTATTTTCTACCCCAGCCAGTGGTGTATTCCAGGCTACACGCAGGTATACAGAGTATACCCACTTATTTTTCAGTCTCCAGATGGCATACCCACTTCTAAAACTCCTCTGATTTACACCATTCATTGATTGACAATATTCAGTAGTATGCTGCAATTTTTTCTATGGTGGTGAAAGGATGACTCTCCCTACTCCGTCTCTAACTGGCTCGTACACACAAACTAAATATGTATGAGTAGTCTTACGTTACACTGTGTATAACAGAATGCTGTTTATCCTCTGCTGGATGGGAAGCTTAAAAAAAAAAAAAAAAAAAACATTTTGGGGAAAAATTTAAAGTATACCCACTTTTTTGGGCACCACTACACCACTGATCTCAGCACACCTGTGCAGTACTCTAACACCCTGACGAGGCCGTTTGGCTCAAACACGTCAGTGTGTTTCCACTTTTTTTCTCACCTTAAACCTTACAACCTCTCCCACACAAGTGTGACTGCAACCGCTTCAGGGACCACTCCACTACCAAACAGAGATAAGCTGTCTCACTGCGGTTTCCCAAAATAGTTAATTAGCGATATAATTAACCAACATAGTTGTAATGAGCCCCCACAAATTCGCCCAAAACAGAACAGGAAAAAAAAAGCACAACTACGGCAGGTGGATGAACCGAAAAAGAAAGATCAGTTCAAAAGAGTATTTTAAAACAGGAATAGATAGTCACTAACTAGACTGAACTCAAATAAATATACTTAAAGAGTCAGAAGCCACACATTGGCCAGGCCACATGCAGGTGATGCTGACAGGAAGAGGGTACCAGTGCAATAAAAAAATATTAAAAAAAAACCTGACAGTCCAAAAGAAAGACAGAAGTAAGACATTTGGCTAAAATAAGCATACATAGTGATTAAATTAAAAGACAACTAAAATGATAAAAAAAATAAAGTCGATGTTTATAAACCAAAAAAATGATATGATGTATTAATTAAATGTAAAAAAAAAAGGGATAGTTATATTGATGATAGATAGACAGTTGATAGTTCTCATTAAGAGAGAGAGATAATGGAAAATCTTACTAATTTAACTCAGGGCAGAAAGTGAGGCTCATGTCATCAGGGTGCTTCAAATCATGATGACGTGTGAAAGGAGGAGACATCTTTTAATTGGAAGACGTCCTTTCTCAGAAAGACATTTCAGTTGTAATATCTCTAATTTGCTTCTTTTTTTGTTTGTTTTGGTCTTATAGTCTAGCACCGAATGAAAGGCAACGACTTGTAACAAACACAAAGACCTACTGCAGCTTTATACTGCCCTCTAGTGGCAAGATAATGCCAAACAGTATCAACACAGTACATACCCTTATAAATATGACTAAATGACTATTACACATTTCTTAGTGAATATTTAATAATCTTCAGTATTTTACAGCCTCATTATTATTATTTAAATGTTTTTTGTTCATGATTACAAGTTTTGTAATTTCAGCTGTAGCTGTATTTTCCCTGACTTAAAAAAACAATATTTGTAATCCCTGGCATCTCTCTTCATACTTTGTTTTTGGAGGCTTGCCTAAACAAATTTCATACTTTTTTCTAAATGCTAGATTTTTGCAACTGATAACAAACCAGTTCTTTCTCTGCAGTCTTTCTCTAGATGAAGTCAAATCCAGCCCCCCATTTACCAAAGGGACTCCTTCAGGAAAAACAGATCATATCTGTGTGAGTGTTCTTAGGGTAAATTGTTTATTTGTTATTTCTGCTACATTATAACCCTCCAGAGGTCAAACACGTGACCTCTATAATTACAGATATTGTCTTGCCATCGGCCGGCAAAGAATTATACAACAGACGTGCATTGATTGTAACGTAATATTATTTAAATTATCTTTTGCATAGTCTCTGCCATTATTATTATTTTTTTACAGTTTTAATATGATTGTGGCTAATTTTGTGTTCATTCAGCTTGATATGTGCACTATTCTGTGTCACTCATGTCTGAGTTTATTTCAACAATTACAGCTGAACAAAAAGGAAGAACAAACAGGAAAAACAACACAGATAAATCTAAAGTCTGATGCAGACTGCAGAGTCTCAGAGGAGGTGATTAAGTGAAAGTCATCAGGGAGGTGAACACATAAAAAAAAAAAGAGGATACTGAGGTCTGATGTTATCTTAAACAGTCACCACATGAAAACACTGCACACAGATCAACAATCTTTTCATACTTAGTCATTATATTTGCCATTTTTCCTTTAAAGAGGAATTAAATGAATACAATATTTAAAATGTTTTGCTTACAGAAATTATACAAGGGGTTGGCTGCTCCAAATGCTTTCCTGCCTTTTCACATGAACTAGTTGTAGAGTCAAGCACAGAGATGGTGGGAAGCCCTGGACAGCTCTAGAGACATATGCCTTAAGGGCTCGTTAGTGTTTATGTGACCTGTTTAGAAACACTTTTTATTACTGAGTCACTCAAGCCCAGCTCCTTCTCTCTGCATACGTACATTTCTAGGACTTTCCACATTAAGCCTAAAGATGAACTCTACCTCTTCTTCACTCACTTGCTCACTGACCCTAATTGAAGACTTGGCAGGGAGCGCTGGTGGTGATGGCGTGCACACAGCTAAGGAGTCATCAGTCTTGCTCATCAGCCCCATTACGGAGCTAAAGTGACCTATGATGTCATAATGTATTAAAGTTTAGAAAACGAATGGACAATGTGTCCCCTAACAAAGCTGCTCCTCACACTGGCTCCCATCTTGTTCCCATGTTCAGCGTCATGACTGTTTGAGGTGGCTGTTTTGAAGTGTTATGGTGGACGTGATATTGAGAGAGTCCCTTCAAAGTTTGGGGATGTGAGAGTACCTTTTGTGGTTTGAGCAAGCGTGTTCCTACGAGAACGTTTTACATGGGTTTTTACTTCATATCATGACGTTTGAAAACACTGTAACATTCAGTGTGAATGCAGAAGAGATGGTGGAACTGATTTGAAATGAAAACTTGAGGAGGAGCAAAGGTCATGATCTATTCTCTAATTCTGGGAAGAACGCAATGCATACATTGTTTTCAGGCTGTCAAAGTAGTTAAGCCATTACTACACTGAATTCATTGTTATGTATAATATTTTTACTCAAATTGAATTTAAAGTACATTTACACATTTGTCTAAATCATTTTTGAACCCCTCCCCTTTTTCAGTGTGCACCATCTCTTATTTCCTGCTTACAGGAAATTCAGGAATGAACATTTGTAACTGTTCTCTTATTCTTTATTATTATTAGAGGTAACAATGAGTAGGAAATCAACCAGTTTGATCAATATTCAATCCAGTAATTTTTAATTCAGATTTTAATTGAGATAATTGAATTTATTTGGTTGATTCAAATATTAAACCATTAAATTTAATACATAACGTGGGAGAGTAGAAGACTTCACAAATAGGCAAAATCAATAAACCCAGTAACGTGGTTTGAATCCTTGAAGACAGTGTGTGATCTGTGATTCAGTGGGGTTTCAGAGGGATTCTTTTTTAACTCAGTTATTTTTTTGGTGCAATTACAACCCTTGTAAGGTTCACAATATAGACACAGGCACAGACAGTCACCACTGCATCATGAGTGGATCATCCTGCTATCACACAATCGAGAATGTGTCTTAATGTGCAAGAGTGTTTATATGTGATGAGGCATTTGAGAAAAAACAAGCTGTATTTTTGGTTGCAACATATACAGCCTGAGTCCTCAGGTCTCTATAACACTGCACTGAGTTTACAGAGGGGACAGCTGTGGCTGAAGATTTACGCCACCTCTTCTTTAGGACCAGCTTAGCAGCTGAGCTCTCAGCCTCTTCATAGCATCCTGAACCCAAGCAAAATGGACGGGAAAAGAGAACTAGTTTCTCCTTCAACCTCTCACAGGGGCTAAATTACGATTTCCCGACTGAATGTGAACCCAGGGAAACGGTCTGAACGGTCATCCATCAGTCCTGGTGTCTACATCCTCCTGAACAATGTGTGACCCCCTGAGCCCAGAGAGGGTCAGAAGAGCGATGGCTTCCACCTACATGCTAAACCTAAACACACATATTCAATCATATTTACACACACACATACACAAACACTTGTGTGTTCCTGTTTTAACAATAATAAAATAAGAGGAGGTAGATAGTCTTCTGTTCTGTGATGCAGAGAGCAAAGATCGCAATATGCTTTGATCCTAAATGATAGATGTGCAAACCTACCATGAACATATGTTGATGGCTTTAATATATTCTATATGATTCAGTTTTAGAGTCACA